AGTGAAAACTTTTTAGATACACTTTGCTTACAAGATTTTAATTGTGAATAGAACATTAAATATTCCCAACCGGCACATCTAGTTTTACTTTCGAAATTAAAAATCGTTAAATCAAAAACGCGTTTATTTTACATACAGTTTTACATACAGATTTACTTGACCACGTGTTTTGTAAGGTTTTAAAGTCAAATTTTAATGTCGCGTGCTTTAATCTAGTTTCACACTTGTTACGGAAACTTACTATAAGTTTCTATAGTGAGTGAGACCATTAATGGAAACTTAACATCCTAATTGCTGTTTTAGTAAATAGTAATAGTAAATTTCACGGAACTGAAACCCTATTCTAGATACGTGCTATTCTTTTTGTTTAAGGGGATTTTAAATACTCAACAGAAACCAAGCTTAATTTTTTACGGAATTGTGTCGGATGGGTTGCAGCTGTATCAAAAGACTGCGTGGCTTCAAAATAATTTTTGATTCATCTGCAGAACACGGTTGTTCAGACTAAATAAGAGGAAAATTATTATACGCAAGCGCAGTAAAGTTGGCATATTTCAAGAGTTTTAAAAATGGCTACGGATACCGAATATAAAAAAATTCTCATTGACAACGAGCTACTTTTTCTTATTTTTAGTCATTAAATATGCATTTAACCGTTTATTAAAAGGAAATTATAATAAAAGTAACTTCTAGTACATAATAAAATGTTTCAAATTACATATAAAACTTCTAAAAATGAATAAAATGTAATTACAGCAATAGCTACTTTAGTGTTTTGTTCATTCTTTTGAAATCATTTTTTAAAAAATTTTGAGCGTACAAATTTATTACATTTTACTTTTTCAAATAGTTTTTCAAATAGTTTATCTTTCTTAGAATGTTTACTAATATTAGTATTCAATTTTTTTTCAAGATTAAAAAATATTTTTTAAACATTAACTTTTTGTAAGCTGTTGCTAGGCTACTCTATAGTCATAATACAAAATTACATTGATGTAATTATATATATATATATATATATATATATATAATATATATATATATATATATATATATATATATATATATATATATATATATATATATATATATATATATATATATATATATTAGGGCTGTACCGGATTTCGGCTTTTTTTACAAATCCGGCCCAAATCCGGCTCCGGCAAAAATTTAGCAAATCCGGCATATCTTTAGCCGGAGTTTTGAATTTTGTCAAATATTTATTACATTTTTTTTGCCCGTGTTTACATGTATACCTAATATTTTATTTATAAAAATCAATTTTTTTTGTAATTATATATTTTATGAACCTAATATTTGTTTTGGTATTTGTATTTATATTTCTTTATAATTTAATAAGCTTAGTCTAATTTCAAACAACAACGCAACAAAAAATTCTGAAGGGAAGACACACGATATTCTACAATGATGCAGGTATAAAGACTATGATGTCAACCCTAATTAAGTGATTGGATGAGCGTTTTAAAAGCATTGAAAAAAGTAACCTCTTTATATACTGGTTGACTCACAATTTAAAACTAAATTCTCCTCATTAGAGGCAACACTGAGAGCTGAAAAAACAAGATTGAAGTCAATCTGAGTATGCTGAACAGAAGATTGACTAAAGTGAAGAAAATCCATCAAAATAAGCCGGGCTTAATAATTTTTCTACATCATCATCATCATTACTCTGGCAATTTATAAATAAAATTATTCAGTTTACGTCCGCTGGTGGCAGGGCACATAAACAACAATTACTAAAAGGCATTGAAACTCAGCTAAGGAAATATCCAAAAGAACCAGAAATAAATAGACACAATGATCCACTACAGTGGCGGAGTGACAAAATCCCGGAAAAAAACTACAGGTGTATATATATATATATATATATATATATATATATATATATATATATATATATATATATACATTTAATTATATATATACATATATATATATATATATATATATATATATATATAACTACAGATGTATATATATATATATATACATATATATATATATATACATATATATATATATATATATATATATATATATATATATATATATATATATATATATATATATATATATATATATATATATATATATATATATATATATATATATATATATATATATATATATATATATATATATATATATATATATATATATATATATAGAGGACCTTCGAGAGAGGTGGCAAAGGGGGCAAATTGACCCGGGCGCCAAGCTTGAAGGGGTGCCGGACAACTTGTTGGATTTTTTTTTGTTTTTTTTTTACAATAAATAGAAAACATTTTAATGATTGACAAAACCTCAAATACAAAATCTGCTTAGATTTTGTATTTGAGGTTGAAACTTTAGTATTCGGAATAAAAATGCACAAAACTTTAATTTTAAATTCTGTTATTATAATTAATTATAAACTATTTTTTATGAAAAAAATAGGATTTAGTTGTAGTTGTACACGAAACTGGGCGTATTCCGTAAGCCTATGAACAGTTAGCTATGCAAGCTCGTGCTTGATTGTACGGAAGATGATGCGCTGTGGTAGTTATAATAGTAGGTAATCAAATATCGGTTTGAAGTAGTTAACACTGATAGCGCAGACACTTTGTTAGGTAGTACGCTCCACGGTGGAAAAATGACTTTCTTGTGGCTTGGTCCATATGAGATACTTGATATTTTGTCAAACTTGACATGTTTATTAAGAAACATTAAAGGGAAAAACACACTAAAGAAGAAGTACTTTTTACATCATGTTAAACAATCTGAGTGCAATGATCAGGATAATAGTCAACGTAATTCCAAATTAATGAAATATCCCTCCAAAGAAATTCTCCAAAAACTAGCTGAAGAACAAGGACTTAAAAAATATTTATAACGCCAGATTTTTTTGATGGAGAAAAAAATGATGTACCTTCAAAAATATGTTTGTAAAGATGGCAATTGTTTTTTTCAAGCAATTTCGTTTTTGCTGACAGGTTCTGAGTGTCAACACATACATGTTTGCAATGTTGTTGTTAAACATATGGTATCAAAACCTTGTTCCAATCTTTTGTCAGGATATTTAGGTTACCTACTTTTGGTAATTACATTACCAAAAGTAGTCCACAGATAGTATATGGGCTACAGATGTTGAGATCCTTGATACTGCAAATCTTATTGGAATTTGCATTGCTGTATGGTCCTTCACTAAACAAAAACTAGCTTGGCTCAAATATCCAGCATCCATGAAACTTGACCAACTTACAGCTCATAGTATTCTTTGAGAAAATAAAAACAATCATTATAAAGTTGTTTTGTCACTAAAAGCTTTGTAAATGAAATGATGTTTATACTATTTTACTGTTTATACTGTTTATACTATTATTATATTAACTAAAATAATGTTTGTATATTTGTTTTATATGTTGTTTGTTATAAAAAAATTAATAATATGCTCAAGGTTAGATATTCTTTACAACTTAAAAGAACGTAAATAAACTTGTTTGTAACAACAACTCTACGAAGTAATTTTATGGATCGCTAGGCTATTTAATTTATTCTTAGATTAGATTTTGTCGCACAATTAAGGTAAATCGCTTTACTTGATGACAGTAAAATTATAACGAGCGCATTTAAATTATAAAGTTAAAATACTACTGTCTCAGCAATATTTTAACGTTATTATTTTAACGCAAAGGAAGTTTGAAAACTTCTGCGCAGTAAAATTTTAACGCAGAAATTTAAAAACGTTACACCGTTTTATTTTGTGTGTTTTTTGATTGGTTTATTTTTTAAAACAAATCACGAAGTTTTATTTTGTTTACATATATTTGGTGATTTTATTTTCTACGCTTGAAGTTTTAGCTTAATACTATGGGGCAGAAGTTATATAAAAACTGAAACGTTTCTGTTTAGTAATTTATTCAAATGACTATAAAGAGATTATGCAAGTAAATTGCTATGAAGGAAAACTAATGTAAAAACTTCGATTTTAACGTTTTTACTGTTTACGAAAAGATAAAAAAAGAGGTTTTTAGTCATTTATTGAATATTTAAATGCTGTAAACAAGGAGTTTTTTTACTTCCGAATAAAAGAGACATTTATGGAATGTAAATACTTAACACATTTGTTTCAGCTGTTTTTATGACGCTGCCCCGTCGCGTTTTATGTATTTTAGTGGTAGTTTTGTTTTACTAGGTGCTTTGGTTAAAAAAAGATTTATAAGTAATAAACTATATAACAAAAGCTTATAAAATTTTACTTTTTAAAAATATATAATAGTAATAATCAAAAATAAGCGAAAAACACAAAAAATTGAAGTTTAAAAGTATAAATATTTGTTTTTAAGAAATGCAAATCGTTCGGATCCTTGACTACGCTGAATACCATAGTAGTCCTAGTCTATCTTCCATAATTGGTAAATCCAAAAGCTTCTTTTGGTTTTTCTCATATTCTACATTCAAAACAATGGCTTGATTCTCTTCAATGTCAATACATTTATACCAGCCGGCAAATAATGTTGAAATAACGTTGAACTATCGTTGAAACCTAACGTTGAATTTACGTTGATTTAACGTTTAGAATGAAAGTTTTTTTCAACGTTGATTTATCAACGTTAAATCAACGTTAGATTCAAACGTTATATCAACGTAGATTCGACGCTAAAAAACGTTACAATAACGTTGAATGCAACGTTTAAAATGATAGTTTTTTTAAGGTTGATTTATCAACGTTAAAACGACTGTAAAACACTTTTTCACCATCAAAACGTGCTATGTATGTCAAAACGTATAAATGTATGTAAACGTGCTATGTGCGGCAAAATGTGATCACCATCAAAACGTACTATGCATGAACATTAGTGTTGCTGTGCATTATCAAGGTATATTATGGGTATTAAATCTATTCATAGTCTATACTTATACTTATTAGAACTTTTTCAATTTAAATTGGTTAAAATAGCTAGGTATGATTAAAAAAAGAGATAAAACTTGTTTTATTGAAAAATATATCTAAATATTACATATATTTACATATAATTGAATAAAATCTACACAAATTTCTTCTCTTTTCCATCACCTTTTTGAAATAGAGCGTAATTTAGAAAGTCAAACAATGTTTCATTAACCGAGGTTTCTTTTGGCCCAGTGAATACAGTAGAAGAAGCTGTAAATTAAAAAAATATATATATATAAAAAATGAATGGAAAAGTAATAAAACTTATGAAGGTATATCTTTTTCAACGCTATATAGATTATGATGTTCTGAAAAACATATTTTTCCACTTTTGCCTTTCATATCCGTGGAAGCCATATAATTTTTCGAAAATACTGTGAATTTTTAAAAAAAATATAACTGTTAGTTGGTTATTATTTATTTTTCAAATATTTAATTTAAATAAAAAAAACCTTTTTTCAAAATAAATTAATAATTAAAATATAAAACTTTTCTAGCATTTAAAAGTAATTTTTGGGGTGGCCACAAAATTTTTATAAGAAAATTTTATGTGGCTATTTATAATTGGTTTAACATCCATGTTTATACACATATGGGGCTTGGACAGGGATTAAATAATGTCATTTTTTATGTTAAATAGCATGCATTTGCTAAATACAATGCTAATTTTAACTCCATGCACTTTAAGGCGTTGTTTTGCAGGAGTTAAAATAGCTTTGATCAAATTTTTACCTTTTTAGAGGATAATAGAGGATTTTAGAGGTGGTTTTTAAAAAAGAGGACTTTAGAGGAGCTGTGGTCACCCTGATTATAAATGAGGTGAGAGTCCAATACTGTTTTTGATTACCTCAGCATAATTTTGTGTATTCTATCTTTAGAAGACGCTCCACCAATTAATTATAATTGAATTATCTGTAAAAAACATAAAGTAAATCTAATATTATGTTTGTGCAGATACATTATAGGTTAAGAACATTCCAAACCACACAAGTGGAAACCTGGATGTAAATTTTGCATCCAGGTTTTCAATTTTTGATAACTAAACCTGTAAAATATAACTACTTATTTATAGTATAAATTCTAAAAAAAAAACATTTTTAGGCATAAAAATTAAAATTTATATAATCCAAGCACATAAAATTATTACCTACTTGGTAAAGAATCAGTAAATTCTCTTTGTTTATGTTTTCTTTTTTGTTAATCAACATTCTAATTATCACCTTTTTCTTTTATAGCAGTGAATTCAAAATTTTCACAACAGTTTGCTTTCTGTGGAATTGAAATAGTTATATGAATAGTTATATATTTTGTATCAACAAAATAACTCTTCTTACCACATTATTTAAAAAATAATAATTGTAATATATAGATGTAATACCTGAAGAGAATTTTGTTTTTATTTGTAGAAACTTAAGCCAATTCTTTTCTGCATTTTAATGCAGTCAATGCTATGGTACCTGGAAGTCAACAAACAGTTTTATCACTTATCCAATTAGATAGAATTACTTTTTCTTGTAAATCTTCATTCCAAACAGCTCCTTTCCACATATTTGATTTTGAAAATATTACATTAACTAATAATAAAATGAAGAAACCATAATATAAGTGTACTAACAGGCCTAATTTAACTAGCTAAATCTGATCATTTTATAACCATAACTTTTGCTAAACAATAATATTAGTAGACATTATTAGCAAAGATATGATTTTCTTTATTTTATAAATTTATTATATTTCAAATTCATTTTTATTAATATACTTATTACTCTATTATTCAGCTGAATTTTAAACTCTAATTTAAAAAAAAAAAATAAAACTAAAAGTAAATAATTAATAATTCTAACTATAAATATCTATATAAAAGACACAATATATTTATATAATACAGAAAAAAAATTAAAATTCTTTTTTTGTATGTATGTATGTCAGAATTAGGACAAAATGAAGTCAATACTTTTAGGTCGGCAGTAAGGTTGGCATTGCCGAATGCCAAACCCTTATCCCGAGGGTTTTATGTATAAATATATACATACATATATATACACATATATATTTACACACATATATACACACACATATATATACAATTTCTGATGAGTCTTTATTGATGAAACACAGTGTTAAATGTAGAATACATTTTAAATTGTTTAAATATATACACATATATATATATATATATATATATATATATATATATATATATATATATATATATATATATATATATATATATTAGGGCTGTACCGGATTTCGGCTCCGGCTCCTGCTCCGGCCGTTTTTACAAATCCGGCCCAAATCCGGCTCCGGCGAAAATTTAGCAAATCCGGCATAATTTTAGCCGGAGTTTTGAATTTTGTCAAATATTTATTACATTTTTTTTGCCCGTGTTTACATGTATACCTAATATTTTATTTATAAAAATCAATTTTTTTGTAATTATATATTTTATGAACCTCATATTTGTTTTGGTATTTGTACTTATATTTCTTTATAATTTAATAAGCTTAGTCTAATTTCAAACAACAACGCAACAAAAAATTCTG